AAGAAGGGCAGATGGAGACCAATTCTCAACCTCCACCAACTAAACGGCTTCAGGTCCCGGAAAAAGGCAAATATAGTGCCCATATTTAAAAAAGGGAAGAAAAAGAACCCAGGGAACTACAGAGCGGTCAGTCTCACTTCAGTCCCTGGCAAAATCATGGAGCACGTCCTCAAGGAAACCATTTTGAAGCACTTGGAAGAGAGGAAGGTGATCAGGAACAGTTAACATGGATTTACCAACGGCAAGTCATGCCTGACCAACCTGATTGCCTTCTATGATGAGATAATGGGCTCTGTGGATATGGGGAAAGCAGTGGATGTGATATATCTTGACTTTAGCAAAGGTTTAGATACCGTCTCCCACGGTATTCTTGCCAGCAAGTTAAAAAAGTATGGATTGGCAGAATGGCGTATAAGCTGGATAGAAAGCTGGCTAGATTGTCGGACTCAATGGGTAATGATCAATGGCTTGATGTCTAGTTGACAGCTGGTATCAAGCAGAGTGCCCCAGGGGTCGGTCCTGGGTCCAATTTTGTTCAACATCTTTATCAGTGATTCAGATGATGGGATTAATTGCACCCTCAGCAAGTTTGCAGATAACACTAAACTGGGGGGAGAGGTAGATACGCTGGAGGGTAGGGATAGGGTCCAGAGTGACCTAAACAAACTGGAGGATTGGGCCAAAAGAAATCTGATGAGGGTCAACAAAGCAAGTATTTGCATTTTAATACATTCCATAGCTATAGCAGTATGGTTTTTTATTTTTATTTGTTTTTGTATTTTTGTAGCTGGGACAGAGACCTTAATTTATTTTTAATTACCTGCACTTAGGAAGGAAGAATCCCATGCACCTCTACAGGCTGGGGACCGACTGGCTAAGCCGCAGTTCTGCAGAAAAGGACCTGGGGATTACAGTGGACGAGAAGCTGGATATGAGTCAGCAGTGTGCCCTCATTGCCAAGAAGGCCTGTCAGTAGATCTAGGGAAAGATGATTATTTATTATTGGTCCCCTCTATTCGACACTGGTGAGGCCACACCTGGAGTATTGCGTCCAGTTTTGGTCCCCCCACTACAGAAGGGATGTAAACAAATTGGAGAGAGTCTAGTGGAGGTCAATTAAAATGATTAGTGGGCTGGGGCACATGACTTATGAGGAGAGGCTGAGGGAACTGGGGTTATATAGTCTGCAGAAGAGAAGAGTGAGGGGTGATTTGATAGCAGCCTTCAATTACCTGAAGGGGGGTTTCAAAGAGGATGGAGGTAGGCTGTTCTCGGTGGTGGCAGATGACAGAACAAGAAGCAATGGTGTCCAGTTGCAGTGAGGGAGGTCTAGGTTGGATATTAGGAAACACTCTCTTTCACTAGGAGAGTGGTGAAGCACTGGAATGGGTTATGTAGGGAGGTGGTGGAACCTCCATCCTTAGAGGTTTTTAAGGCCCGGCTTGACAAAACCTTGGCTGGGATGATTTAATTGGGGTTTGTCCTGCTTTGAGCAGGGGATTGGACTAGATGACCTTCTGAGGTCTCTTCCAACCCTAATATTCTATGATTCATTCACAAATTCAAGTTTCATGTGGGCATGCTGGTTTCTATAATATCATCCCTAGAAAAGGACATGTGGTTTACAGTTCTGGATATGAAGGATGCCTACTTTCATGTCAATATTTATCTCACTCACAGGTGCTTCCTCAGATTCATGGTGGGCCCCGACCTTTTCAGTGCAGCATACTCCTTTTCAGTATAGCAATTAGGACACCTGTAGCCAATTGGGAAGCTGCTAGAATTAATTAAGGCTAATCAGGACACCTGGTTTAAAAAGGCTGTCACTCCAGTTAGTCAGGTGTGCGCCTAAGGAGCTGGGAGTGAGAGGACATGCTGTTGGAGGACTGAGGAGTACAAGCATTAACAGACATCAGGAGGAGGGTCCTGTGGTGAGGACAAAGAAGGTGTTGGGAGGAGGCCAAGGGGAAGTAGCCCAGGGAATTGTAGCTGTCACGCAGCTGTTCCAGGAGGCACTCTCGACAGCTGCAGTCCACAGGGCCTTGGGCTGGAACCTGGGGTAGAGGGCGGGCCCAGGTTCCCCCCAAACCTCCCAACTCCTGACCCAACACAGGAGCTTCCACCAGAGGTGAAGGTCTCTGAGCTGGTCCCCGACCCACATGATGGATCAGCAGAAACTGCAGGGATTGTTCTTACTCTTTTTTCCCCAGGCTGGCCAGTGATGAGGTTATCTGAGTGAATGGCAGATTTGAGCCACGAAAGTGGCCAAACTGAGGGCTGCCATGAATCTCTGAGGTGAGCAAAATCCACCAATAAGCGCAGGTCCCACCAAGGTAGAGGAGGAACCTTCTCTCAGTACATTCTTTCTCTAAAGACATCTGGCCTATCCATCAGCTCCTCACTAGTCCACCTGGCAGTGATGAGTGTGTGCCATTCTCCCGTTCAAGAGCACTCAGTCTTCACTCACCCACTGACCACCAGATTTTGGAATAATCAAAACCATCCCCCCCTCTTCCCAAGCCTGTCCCTCAGTGGGACTTGAACCTTGTTCTGTCTGCACTCAAAAGGCCACCCATAGAGCCCCTAGCTTCCTGCTCCATGTCCCTACTCTCAGTGGAGGTTGCATTTAGCCATCACCTCAGCCGGAGGGTTGGTGCGCTTGGAGCAATGATAGCAGATCCTCTGAACTCCGTGTTCCATAAAGATAAGGTTTTGTTATGTTTACACCCCAAATTTTCTTTCAGTTTCACTTGAACCAATTGATCCACTTACCTGTGTTCTTCCCTAAACCACACACTTCCTGACAGGAGCAGAGATTTCACACCCTTGATGTGTGGCATGCCTTGGCCTTTAACCTACACAGAACATGACCCATCAGGAAGTCCCCAAGACTGTTCATTGCGATAACAGAAACTCAGGGGACAGGCGAGCTCCACCCAGAGGATCTCCAAATGGATCTCTGGCTGCATTCTGCTCTGCTATCAGCTCACAGACTCTAAGGTCGGAAGGTGTCATAAATATAAAGGAAAGGGTAAACACCTTTAAAATCCCTCCTGGCCAGAGAAAAAGCCCTTTCACCTGTAAAGGGTTAAGAAGCTAGGATAACCTTGCTGGCACCTGACCAAAATGACCAATGAGGAGACAAGATACTTTCAAAGCTGGAGGGGGGGAGAAACAAAGGGTCTGGGTCTGTCTGTGTGATGCTTTTGCCGGGGACAGAACAGGAATGGAGTCTTAGAACTTAATAAGTAATCTAGCTAGATATGCGTTAGATTATGATTTCTTTAAATGGCTGAGAAAATAAGCTGTGCTGAATGGAATGGATATTCCTGTCTTTGTGTCTTTTTGTAACTTAAGGTTTTGCCTAGAGGGATTCTCTGTGTTTTGAATCTAATTATGCTGATTTTTACAGAGGTGATTCTTTTTACTTTTTCTTCTATTAAAATTCTTCTTGTAAGAAACTGAATGCTTTTTTCATTGTTCTTAAGATACAAGGGTTTGGGTCTGTGGTCACCTATGCAAATTGGTGAGGATTTTTATCAAACCTTCTCCAGGAAGGGGGCTGCAAGGTTTTGGTGAGGATTTTGGGGGGAAAGACGTTTCCAAACGACTCTTTCCCAATAATAAACCCGGTTAGACGTTTGGTGGTGGCAGCGAAAGTCCAAGGGCAAAAGGTAAAATAGTTTGTACCTTGGGGAAGTTTTATACCACATTTATACCACTCAAAGGATGTCTTGTAAGACGAGCATGTCATTATCTTGTGGAACTCACTGGCACAGGATGTCACTGAGGCCAGGAGCTAAGGAGGATTAGAGATCACAGGGATAGGGGAAACACCCATGGTTACAGGAGATGGGACCCTCCTGCTTCGGGCACGAGCCCACTACATACTGGTGGGGTCAGGAAAGCGTTTCTCTGAGGGGCAGGGTAGTAAATAATTGTCCACCAGCCAGCTTCCTGCCCTGTCCTTTGAAGTAGCTGGTGCTGGCCACGGTCAGAGTCAGGACAGTGGAGCAGTGGATTGTGGGTCTGACCTGCTTGGGCACATCCTAGCTTCCTACTCCAGGCCTGGGCTCGTATGCCTCAGCTGCTGGGAAGCAGTGTGTCCCACTGCAGGAGCCATCATATCTGGGCACCTTGACTGCTCACCTCTTCCTAGTGTTGACTTGGCTTCATTGGCCTTCCTGGGAGCAGCAGGTGCATTGCCTCATGTGCTGTTTCAGTGCTGGGGCTGCGACACCCAGAGCTGTGGGCAATGTGTGAAATCAATGGACAGGCCTCTAGGCAGTCCCTTGTCTGGGGTGGGTTTGGAAAGCACCTGGCACACTTTGGGGTCTGCCCAGACCCCTCGCAGAGCTGGGGATGTGGCAGCCAGTGCTCCCAAGAGGCTCAGAATGGGGACAGTGGGCTGCTGCGGGTCAGAGCTGTGGGGCACTGGCATTGCTGTGTGTGTAAAGGCTCAGGGCTCTGGGTCAGCACTGAATAGCTCAGCAGTGCTGAGTATGTGGAGCCCAGGGCTGGAATGGTGGGGGGCTGAGGGGCATTGCCAGAGCTGTATATGTGGATCGCAGGGCTGAAATAGCAGGGCAGGATTGTGGTGCGCCAGTAGATCTCTCTTTGGGAGTTGGCACAGCACCTGGCTATGCTGTCTGGCTCTTTGCAGCACTCCCACCAGTCATATCAACAAGCACGGAAGTGCCCCCCCCCCGCCACCTTTTGATTTGCCTCTCAAAGCCGAGAGTGCCTTGGAGCGCAGGCTGGCCCAAGGGATGCCTACAACTCCGCTGACACCTGCCATCAGAGTCAGAGGGGGAGAACACAGGAGAGAAGGCAATTGCAGAGAACAGGAGTGATGCCTGGGCAGATTGGAAGTGGGCCCAGGTCACACATTGTAAAGAAGGGGCAGGAAGATTAAATGTAAAAGGAAGGCAAGATTTAGAGGGCCCTGTACTGCGCCGTGCTGATGAGCTATGGACAGCACCTAACATCCTCATTTACAGATGCCTTCATTGCAGAAAAGAGAGTGGACCTGGGACGAGAGCAAAATGCTGGTGATGCAGGATCCCATCTACAGGTAAGAGCCCCTCAAGGTGGAATGCAGCTCCCCTGGGCTCTGACGCTGCCCAGCGAGTGCCCGGGGGTGCCTGGAGCTGCCCTGGGCTCTGACGCTGACCAGCCAGTGCCCTTGGGGGTTCCTGGAGCTCCCCTGGGATGTGACGCTGCCCAGCCACTGACACACAGCCCACTGGACCCTATACATAGAACCCAGAGGGGGATTGTCTGCAATGCAGATGCTGGAATTTTAGGGCCCCCAAGGTCGCCCCAGACAGGCAGCTGAATCGGAGCCAGGCCAGGAGTCACTGAGCCCCTGTGAACGAGCCGCTTCGAGGGAAAACCGTTCTCTGTCAGGGATTAGAGCCGCCCACTGGTGCCCCTCCAGACCTGGGGCAGGGGAGTGGAGTGGCCCTGGACCCCAGCAGGCCTTAGGCCCACTGGGCCTTGTGTCTGAGACAAGGAGCTCCTGCAGCGGGAGGGAAGGGCAGGGCTCCATGCTCTGCCAGCGACTAAGGCAGGGGTTAGCATGTGCTCTGTGCCAACCCGTTGCCTTCCCCCGCTGGGCACCATCATTGCCCGACTCTTAGCTTGCCCAGGGAGCTGGCTGCTGTGGAGAGCTCCTGAAAGGCACATGCCCCAAATCTGCCCTCTGGCCCGGCAGGGGCAGGGCTCTCGGGGGCTTCTTCCCCCATCTCTGCAGCTGCACTGGTAGGGCTGGGCTAGCGGATGCTGCTGGCTCGACGAGGGGCAGAGCCCTGTGGATCGGCTCAGTCATGCGTACTCCACCTGCCCCACAAGTAGCGTGGGTGAGGCCTCCGGCCTGCTGAGCACCACAGATGGGGCTTGGATTACAGATGTCCCTCCCCTCTCTCCCTGCAGGATATTCTACGTGTCCCACGACTCCCAAGACCTGAAGATCTTCAGCTACATTGCCAGAGATGGCTCCAGCAATGTCTTCAGGTGTAATGTCTTCAAGTCCAAGAAGAAGGTACCTGCGGCAGGGATGCGAGGTCCCTGGGAGGTTGCAGGGAGGGGTGTGGCAATGCAGCTGACTCAAATGCGCTGTGCCCATGGGGAGGTCCTGGGGAATGGCTGTTTCTTGGATACCCTGTAGCTCCTGGATTCTCCCTCCAGTGCCACCACCAGCCTGGGGCAAGGCAGAGCCCCAGGAGCTCCGGGTGTGCCTTGCCTCGAAGGCATGGTAAGGGCAGCAGCACTCAGCCCCCTCCTCACACGCTCTGCTGCCCAGAGCCTTCTGGCCACTTCCTCAGGGACTGGCCAGCAAGGAGCTGCCCAACCTCCCCACAGCCATTGTCCCACCATGCACTGGGCAGAGCCAGCAGGGTCCTCTCGCTGCAGTGGAGGGTTCTTTGTGCCGCACCCCCAGGGTCAGCTTCCTCAGCAGATTGGCCTGGCCTGGGCTGCAAAGCCATCCCCGGCTCCTCACTGCTTCTGTCCCCTCCCATCGCCTGATGCAACTCACCATGGGCAGGGCAGGGGTGCTGATGCTGTGACTGATGGGTCAGAGGGTGCAGCGGGTGGCCAAGCTATTCCCGTTGCACAGGAACTGCAAGGCTCGGGCTCTGCTCTGGCGAGTTGCCATTCCCCAGGCCTCGAAGGGACTGGCCATGCCGGCTGGTTTGGATGTGCAGGAACACAGGATGTGAGGCTGACAGGGCTGCGAGACCCCTTAGGGCAGGACCATGCTGCCCTGGCCTGCTGTTCTCAGAGAGCTGTGGTCACCTCCTCTCCTGTCCCCTCCCTGTCAGGGCAGCGGGGAAAAGCCCCCAAGCTGTTCTCCCCCTCCTCCCCCACCCTGTGCACCAAGGCAGAGCCCCTCACTGAGAGGGGATGGGCAGCAATGGATCACACTGTGGGGCTGCACCAGGAGCCTGTGATATTTAACATCCTGCTAAAAGTGATCCTCGACAGCTGGGAGTTGACACCCACCAAGTGAGGGGCGGAGTGCTTAGAATGACACCTGGAGCCAAAGCTGGACAAATGCCAGCAGAGGCCAGTGGAGACATGATCTGAACTGCGCAGAGGGCAGAGCCAGGCAGCGGGGGCCAGAGGCATTCGGGACAGAAATCACCCACTGTTGCGAACTCAAGTGCAGCTCCTCTGAAGGTAGCACTCAGGGCTGAAAGTTTGTTCCTAGGAGCCTTGCTGGATCGGGGCCTTAGAGACCATGACGCCAGAAGGCCCCAAAATAGATCAGAGCTCTCCCTTTGTGCATGGACTGCGGGGGCGGGGGGCTGGGACGCAGCCCTTTGCAGAGCCCTGGGCCCTCGAGCCATCCAGGGCTCCGGCTCAGCCTCAGGGTTCCCCCAGGGGTCTTGGTCAGCAAAGCCTCCCATGCTGTCAGCAACTGCAGCGGTTTGATGCACGGTCCCTACAGCCTGTCATCACAGCTCCTCTCTCCCCACTCCAGAGCCAGGCCATGCGCATCGTCCGCACTGTGGGGCAGGCCTTTGAGGTGTGCCACAAGCTGAGCCTGCAGCACACCCAGCAGGATGCGGATGGGCAGGAGGATGGTGACAGCGAGGACGTGGGTGGTCCAGGTACGCCGCAGCAGGGGGGAATGGCTCTGTGCTCGGGACTCCTGCTGAGGGCAGGCCATGGCCTCCAGTCGTGCTCTTGGCCGGCAGGTGTTTTGTGGCTCGCGCAGGGAGAGAGCCACCCCCCCGGAGTTGGCGCCACCCTCCCCCCCCCCCCCCCCCCAGAGCAATGTACAGGTGCCGGGTATTGTAGGGATGCCGCAGGGGTGTGAAGGCCAGCAGTGTCTGAAAGTGCTGTTCTGCCCCGGCTAATGGAGCACTGTGAGAACAAGGCATGCATGCGTCCTCTCCTTCTGGGATGTGGGCCCAGAGCAGGGAGTGACATTTGCTAGGTCCTGGCCTTCATCCTGTGGACCTTCCACCCCACTGGGAGCCCATTCACAGGGCTGCGGATTGTGCCAGCTGCGAGTGCTCAGGGTAGACAAGCCCCTGTTGGGGATGGTTTAGATGTGCCTGGTCCAGCCTTGGTGTGGGGCAAGGAACTGGATCGAGGGCCCTTACAGCCCTGCAACCCTGGGATTCTCATTTGTAGCCTGTAAACATTTACTTGGTGCACACGTAAAGCGAGAACATTGTATTAAAGCAACTCCTGGCCCCGAGCAGCCCTTCCACCTCCACCCTGGGCCTGGCCCCAGGGAATTCTCTGCTCCAAGTCGCAGTGAGCACCAAACAAGCAGCTCCTGAGCCGACAGAGTCTCAGAGGAGTCGCCTCAGCCAGGGCCCAGAAAACGAAGTTACACCGGTCACTGGGGTTACAATATGGCAGTGTGTGGGGAGGGGGCATGCTCGTCTCCTGAGGAGGTGCCAAGTGCCAGTGCCGTGGGGCGGTGAGGATCTGGGAAATGGGATATGCCCCTCCCCATATGATGGACAGAGATGGCACAGACTGGTAGAGGTGACGTGTGGGAGGCATGCGGGGTCACATGCCCCCGCAGATTGCTCGGTCACATGGTGTGGCTGGGCCCCCTCCCTGTGGGGCAGCTGAGCCTGTGAGCTGTGCTGGGCAGGGAGAAGACGAGGCAGGAGGAACAGCTGGGAGCTGCAGGGAGGGGCTGCTGCTTTCTAGAGGGGGCGTAACTTGAGCTGTTCCAGGATTGTGCCCCCCAATATCAGCAGGCACAGGTCATCTCTGCAGACTGGATTTGGGGTGTACCACAGGTTGGGTTTGAGGGTCGTCAGCAGAGCTGTGGGGGAGGGAGGCAGCCCAGGGCTGGGGTAGCATGGGGCTGCAGGTCAGGATTGAGGGGCATTAGCAGAGCTGGGGGTGGGGAGTCCAGGGCTCAGGTAGCAGTGGGATGTGGGTCAGGATTGAGGGACAATGACAGAGCTGGGGGTGGGGAGCGCAGGTCTGGGATAGCAGGGGGCTGCAGGTCAGGATTGAGGAGCGCTGGCATCTCTTCTAGGCATGGAGCACGCCATGGTTAAGTGAGTGCATTTCATGAGGAGTCAAGCCGGAGCCAGTTTGGCCTGTTCTTCCCCATGTGCCAGGCTGGGCACTGCATGCATTTCTCTCTTGTCCGTCACCCTGAGGGATGGCTCCTGTGATGCATTTGCCAGGGCCCCCCGAGCACTCAGCTTCAGGCCCATCCCCCGGCTCCGCTCCACCTCAGCACCCTGGCTCCTCTCAGTTACATGCTACACCAAAGTCCCAGACCATTTGGAGGGTGCCCAGTCCCCCATCTGTGCTGATCTCCTTGCCCACCCCATCCTTCTCTCTCTGGAACTAGGCCTGCAAGGAGACCCAGCAACCTCTGCTCTGTGTACTCTCTGTCCCACCTGGTTCTCTGCTCTGCTCGCCCTCCTGCTCACCCTGCCAGTGCTGAGACAAAGCATCACATGGGACGTCCCCTCAGCACAGACCTGTGCCCTCAGTGACCCACTGACAGGCAGCCCTGTTGCAGACTCGTCGCCTCTTTCTCCCCCTCCTCCTAATACTGAGCTCTTACCGTGGGCTGAACTCAAAACAGCATCATTAGGTTTCAGAGTCATCCCAGCAGGACGTATGGGGCAGTTCCTACGCTCAAACCCATTGACATCCAGTCGGACAAGGGCCCCACGCAGAATAGGTTCTTCACGCTGTTCCCCTAGAAGTTATGTCAGCAAGTACTTTAGCTCAACTGCCAGCTCCAGCGTCGGCCAGCACTGATGCCTGCTCCTGCCCTAATGTTGGCCAGAGCCCATGTATCCTGCTCTCCTGCTGCCCAGTGATTGTCTGTGCAATCCCTCTGCTGTACAGCTGCACTCTGTGGAAAGTGGCTGCCTGCCCTTCTCAGAGGAGAGTTCTCCAGAAAGTGAGCCAAGCACAAAGCAAGATAGGGCTGCATCCTGAGCCTGCCCACAGCCTGAAATAGTCTTTTGGAGGGCTGTGAACCACCCACCCACCTCCGTCTCAGAGGGGTGACCTGGAAGCCTACTGCTGACAATTTGAATTTTGCCATGAAATGTTCACCATCAATCGTTTCTGCAGGAACAGCCAGTGAATGTGTTCCTCTTGCATGCCCTGCTCTCCTCTCCTGCATTTCCAGGAGCCAAGAGCCCAGGTAGTGATACCGTTCCTATCCAAGGGCATCGAGAGACCTGCATGCGGTGCCAGCCATTCCCCGTACTTCCGCTCATCCTGGGTCTCTTGTGGCTGGCTCACCGTAACGCCCTTCTCATTTGGCACAAGCTAAAATCTCACAATTCTGTCAACAGCACTGCTTGACCCCAGGAAGTGGGCAGCACGCAGTACCCCAGCAGTCACACACCAGGGTAGCTGGCCCCGCAGAGCCGCCCACTGATTCCGGTCCTCGACTTCCATCCAAATACAGCAACTTCAAAGATGTCATCAAACCGCCTGCAGGCACCTTGCCCCACACAGGGACTATGGTTGCCCAGTCGAGCTACATTCCCTTCAGGTGTATGGACACCATGTCGGAGCCTGAACTGGCCACACTCTGCTCCAGCTAGCCAAGGGCTTTATTCCTAAATCCACTTTGCCTGCCAGAGCCACAGTCCTTTTTCTTATTTAAAAAAAATGTTGGGGAAGCCTCAGACTATCAGGCCCTGAATCAGGTCACCATTAGAAACCGATACCCATTTCCACCAATCCCCAAGCTAATGGACCACGTGAGCACTGCCTGGGTACACACAACGCTAGCCCTGCAGGGGGCACGCAACTTAGTACAGGTTAGAGCTGGGGACAAATGGAAACCCTCCATTCGAACACATTATGGGCACTTTGAATATCTCGTGATGCCCTTTGGTTTGACAAATGCTTACAATGTTTCAGCATTTATTAATGATGTGCTCTGGAACATTGTGGGCCAGTACGTGGTAGCATACCTGGGTGACATACCGATCTTTTCAGACAGTGCCAAACAACACAGCATGTACATCTGTTCCGTCTGGTCTCTATATGAAGCTAGAAAAATTTGTCTTTGATAGGGTGACCAGATGTCCTGATTTTATAGGGACAGTCCCAATATTTGGGGCTTTTTTTTTATATGGGCTCCTATTATCCCCCACCGTCCCAATTTTTCACACTTGCTATCTGGTCACCCGAGCCTTTGACCAGTCCTCCATAGAATTCCTAGGCTCATCCTATCTCCCGCGGGTACTGAAATAGACCCATGGAAGATAAAGGCAGTCCTCGAATGGGGGAGCACCATGGAACGTTCGTGAACTACAGTATTTCCTGGGGTTTGCAAACGTCTGTCACCAGTTCCTCCTAAAGTTCTTGGAGCGGATCGCCCCTCTCACTGCCTTGCTCCTCAAAAACACCAGATTCCTGTGGTCTCCCAAGGCCCTGCAGGCCTTCAAGCAATTAAAACTTGCGTTTACCACCACTCCCAAAGTGGTCCATCCTGACACCACACAAGCCTTCATCATCAAAGCGAGAGCTTCCAACCTGGCAGTCAGAGCAGTTCTATCGCAAAGGCACAATCCTCAACAACTGCTGCACCCACACGTCTTCTGTGCCAGGAAACTTACCAGCGGAGCCAAACTATGAAATTTTGGACAAAGAACTCCGGCAATTAAGATGGCCTTCGCAGAGTGGCACCACTATCTAGCAGGGGCCTGATATTCTGCCCAGATGTACACCGATCATAAGAACCTCACATATCTGCATAGGGCCAAGGCCTTCAACCAACAACAATTTTGGTGGGCCTTATTCTTTTTGCACTTTGATTTTGCAATCTCCTGTCATCCAGGAACCCAAACTAGCAAGGCTGACACTTTGTCCCAGAAGGGACGCTGATCTTAAAGATTTGAACCCAAAAACCTCCTCCATCCTCAAGCCTCAGAATTTTCTGGGCCCGGCTCCCCACCAAGATCTGCTCACCCTCATATGATCAACCTTCACCCAGGGAATCCCTCCAGTCGAGCAGAAAGCCATAAATAAGGACCCCCACGATGTCTGAGACAGGGTAACCTACTAAATGAGCGTATATATGTTCTCCTAGGCCTCCAAGGACTACAGCCCTACCAGTATGCCATGACTCGCCTGGCAGGACATTTTGGCTATTTTAAAACTCAGCACCTTGTCTCTTATATCTTCTGGTGGCCTCACATGCAGGCCATAGTGCAGGCCTGTGTTGCAATGTATGTACCCACTCCAAGGCGCCACACAATAAATACCTGGGAACCCCTTGAACTCCTGCAGCCCCTTGAGACTCCCCCGGCCCGTGGACAGTCATTGCCTTAGATTTGCTAGTAGAACTATCCGAGGCCGGTGGGTTTTTTACCACTCTGACAGTAGTGGGCCACTTCACCCCGGCACTGGCCTAACCTTCTCCCAGGAAACGGCCCAGCTCTGTGTGGACCAAGTTGTCTGCCTCCATGGCCTCCCACAGCACATGATCTCTGAGCACCATGTGTGATTTATCTCTCGCTTTATGTGAGAAACTCTCTGGATTTTGGGCATCTGCTCCTGCCTCTCTTCCACCTACCACCCTTAGACAAATGGTCAAGTGGAGAGAACCAACCAGATCCTGGAGCAATATCTTCGACACTACATAAACTTCCACCAGAACAACGGGTTCTTGCTGCTACCTCGCATACAGTAACGCAGAATATGCTTCTACAGTGCAAAGCCATTTTTTTTTCAAACTATAGATTCCATCCTTGGTTTTACTTGGAGCTAACCACAACTTCCCACAACCCAGCAGCCCTGGACTGGACTGGACTGGACACAAGATATGTCAAACCCAAGATGACCTAAAAGTTTACCTGGAGGACACCTAGAAAAAAGAAACAACATGCGGACCGTCAATGACAGGAGGGGCCTGCCCTTTTGCTTGGCCAGAAGGTATGGCTCTCAACAAAAAATGTACACACAAACAGGCCATCCCGTAAGTTGGACTACCAGCTCTTTGGCCCCTACCGCATTCTCCAGCACATTAGCCCAGTCACCTTTGAATTCAACTTGCCCCGTTCTCTCCAAATACACCCAGTTTTCCATACATCACTCCTGAAGCCCCACATTCAGGACCCATTTCCTCACCGCTCCCAACCATCGCCCCACACCAGTACATGTTCACAACATTGATGAGTATATTCTCCGTGAGATCCTTGATGCCAGAGTCAGACGGGTTAGACTCTGGCATCTTATGGCTTGGGAAGGCTACAGTCCTGAAGAGCACTCCTGAAGAAGGACCTGGCGAAGAATGTCCACACTCCTGACCTGGAAAACACATTCCACAAAAAACAGCCTGGAAAACCAAGCCCCTACCTCCCAGGAGAGGGGCTGATGTGAGGGATCCTGGGCCTTGATCCTCGACCTGGGGGTCCCCAGGCAGGGGTCACACCACAACCACCACTCAGCAGCTCACCTGAATGATTGCAGAAGGGGCCAGCAAAGCTCTGCCTCACAAAGGGCCCCACAAAGCTCCAGACTGTGGGAGACTTCTGCCCCACTGATTGGCGGTGATGCCCTATTTAAACCAGAAACAGGAAGTTGTCTGAGCAATTAGGTCAACCCCTGGCTGACTGCTGCTGCACTGGCCCCTGCCTACTGCCCTGAGCCTTGCCTCCCAACCTGTTCCTTCCCCCTGCACTCCTTCTCCCAGACCCCCACCTCTGCCTGGTTCCTGTCTCACTCCTGGTCCCAGCTCCTATGGCCTACCCCTGATTCTGACTCCAACTTCAACCCCTGGCTTGCAAAGACTGTCTCTGGCTCTGACCCCGGCTTGGCGCCTAACTCCAGGCCCCGGACTCTATCCACTAGGTCTGATTGCCTATGCCCCAGTCCCTGCAGAGGCACCTTCTCAGAGCAGTTATGCCGTGACACAGCAAACATTGAAAACAGGATACTGTGCTCCAGCATAAAATGACTGGAACTGAGCATCAGATAACAGCAAGACTGTGGTACCATGGCATTATCGACACCACACCCCACGGAGCTGGTCGGGAATTTAGCTGACACTTCCCCCAGCACTCCCTCTGCCACCCAGAATGCAGGGTTCTGACTGGAGTGGTAAGAGCAGTCCGGGGGCCCTACAGGCTTGGGGGAAGGGATCCTGTGGATTGACATGCTATATGCCAAGGGTGGCCAAACTGTGGCTCATGAGCCACATCTGGCTCTTTTACAGTTAAAGTGCAGCTCGCAGAGCCCCCCATTCCCTTCGCCCCCATTCTCCGCCTACCAGACTGGCGGGAGGGGGGCCTTGGGGATTCTGCCCTGCAGTGGGGTGGTGGGGCTAGGAGCTTCTGCCAGAAGGGACTGGTGCCTGCTGAGAGTGGGGGTGGAGGGGGCACAATTTCAAGGTTAGGCCTCCACTCAACAGCTTGAGTCACAGGCTCCAGGCACACCCTCCCTATTACTCTCAGCAGCCCCACCCTGCAGCTCCCAGCTCCACATGGAGAGGCGCCAGCAAAAGCAGCAGCTCCCCCTGCAGCTCCCAGCTCTTAGCTGCTGCCTCTCCCCAGGCTGCAGCTGCCATACAGGGAGGGGGCCCAGCAGCACCACGTGACCGAGTGGGCCTAGCAAATCCTGGCAAAAATCGAGGGGGGGATGTGACCCCACATCACCCCACATGTGTCACCTTTGACTTCTGCCCAGCAGAGGTGGGGGGGCTCAGGGCTTCAGCCCTACAGGGCACGTCAGCCAGGGCTTGGGGCTTCAGCAGGAGTGGGGCTGAACCAAACCCCAGCGTGCACGCCCTGGCTCCCGAACATTTGAAGATTGTCATATGTGCCTCAGAGGGTCAGTAGGCTTGGCCACCCCTGGGCTATGCCATGTGCCCCAGCCTGGGGATCGGAAAGGCTGGGTATAGGGAATCCCGCGGGGACCATATGGGCATACAGGTATTGGGCGTTTTCCTTTCTCTGCCCATTCCCTTCCCCATGAACCCGTTCTGTCCCTCGCTGCCCCCACCACTGAGCTCAGGGTCCATGTTACCAACCAGGCAGTTGGCAGCTTGGCAGGAAGGTGGAGACAGGCTGCCCTTTGTCCCAGGGGATGCTGCTGCCCTGGCACAATGAGCTGCTATCACAGTTGCTGCGCCAAACCTTCCGACTCTGGGGAGATGCTCTCAGGATGCAGTTTAGATCTTTTGCTCTGCAGCCCCTTCACCACAAGAGTTCTTTTGACCTCCGGCACAGCTGAGCAAACCCCAGCCATGGCTCCTGCAGCTCTGTGCCTATCATCTGGTGCAAATTAGTAAATGAGCTAATTTACACTTTTGCAATGTTTGCATGTGGCCAACAACTTCAGCATAAGTCATCGGCGCCTCTGTGGAGGTGATGGGGGCCCTGAAATGACTCCCTCACTGAGACTGACAACGGTTTTAACCTCAGCTGGGAAGAACAGAGGCCAACTGAATGGGATGAGTGAAACCATGTGCTCAAGGGGGCACCAAGCGGGGATATCTACCAGCACCCACTGCTCCGAGAAGAGGGGAGGGAGCTAGCAGGCAAAGTCCAAAGGACTTCCCCGGTGTGCATGAGAGAGCTGGGGTAAACAGCCCCCTGGTCCCAGAGAGCCTCTTCGGTATCAGGCTTTCTCTTCCTGGATGAAACCTGGCCAGTGCCAGGAGCATAGTGGGACCAGGATGGGGTGACTATAAAACAGGGGACAGCGAAGCTGAAATCTGAGGCAGAGGAGAGGCTGCAGTCTGTTGCACTGTTCCTGGTTCTAGGAGCAGAGTGCAGTCCAGTGATGAGAAAGCGTAGCTAGGCACATAGACTTGACAAATTCATTCTGAAAGGCACTATAGCAAAGTGGGTGAGATTTGGGTCTCCGCTATTAGAGAGCTGAGTTCTGGTCCAAGCTGTGCCTTCAGTGACCAGTCAGCTACCTTGTTTGTAAAATGGGGGTGATACTTGCCTGCCCCCTTGGGGGTGAGGCCTAGGGCAGGAAAGAGGGCTGAGAACTGCACAGAAATATTGACCCTCGCCAGTAGAAGAGATGGGCCCAGATTCCCTGGTTCAGACCTGAGTGCACTTTCCCCTAGGCCTCAGGATATTTGGAGTGTCCTCTCAGCTCTGTGCAGACAGGGCTGCCTGCTAGGGATGCGTGACCCATGGCAGGTGTGCAGGTGCTTCCCCCACAAGGAGGAATGGGCCTTGTCTGCTAGCCAGGCCGACGTTCTCTCAGCCCAAGGAGGTGGGGGTAGGGCAGTGTTTCCGTTGTCCCCTCTCACCTCTGACCATGCCGTTGCTGCCCCCTCCCAGCCTGCGACCCAGCCAGAACTGAGAATGCAGCTGCCCCTACAGAGGAGACGGATATCGATGCAGTGGAGATCCCTCCACCAGGGAGCAGCACCCTGGAGTTCAGCCGGGGGGTGACAGACCTCGACGCCGTGAGGAACGACTCCGGGCACTCTCTGGACACCAAGGTATGCCAGCCCCAGCCAAGAGCAGCTGTGCCCCAAAAGTGGCCTTTGAGCCGTGGTACAGGCCCAGGGTCCCCCCAGATAGCATGGTTTCCCGAGCATGTGTCCAAGCTGCTTTGCTATATGGCTTCAGGAGCAGCTCAAAGGAACCTTTGGGTTTCACACTGCCCTCCAGTGGGGTAGGGAGGGAGCTCATGTCTAGATATGGGGCTGGAACAGCCTGTGGCAGCTCTGCGGGGGTGATCAGATGGGGGGACCACGGCGTGAAGCTGGTGCAACAGCATATGTCCTCATGGCAGCAGCTGGCATCCCCCCCAGCACTGCCCGGGCATTAACAAGGGGAGCCGAGGGGCTGGCCACAACATGGGAAATGCCTCTTCTCTGAGCCACCCCGCAAACTAGGGCAAATTGCCTTTGCTGGGGCCCTGAGGGAGGCCAGGTTCACTCCCCTCTGTGCACTCTCATGTTAAGAGCTAGTGTGTGTGCCCCACACCCAGACAGGGGGAACCTAGGCACCACAGTGTCCCCAGCAAACACACACCTTTCCCCATTGCCGGTCAGCGCAGAGCTCTGAAAACCCTGGGAGGTACTGAGCCCTGAGGACACAGGCTGTGGTTCTGCACGTGGCAGACCCAGCTCCGGTCCCTGAGGGTGGCAGTGCCCAGCTCTTGTTGTGGGGTGTGCTGGGCAGCGGCAGCGCAGGACGGGAGTCCAGCTATCATGCTCCGTTACTCACTGTTAGGGGCAGTGGCCCTTCCTTGATCCCATCTCCCAGTAGGGGAGGAACCCCTACCCCCACCCCTCCAGTTAGCCCCTGACAATAAAAGAAGCTCATAGTCACTGGCTCCCCCTCATCCTGTTCTCCCCCGAAACTCCCCCAGCACTCAGCCTCTCCCCTGTGCCCTGCACTGCTGCAGTCCAGACACAAACTGGTCCCTGTGTCGCCCCCTCGCTCCTGTTGGCTGTGGCATTTCCTGGGAACAGAGCAATGTTGGTTTCCCAGGGAAAGCAGCAGGAGTGGAGCTGCGTCTCCCTCTGCCTGACCACACAGCTGCTGGCAGGAGAGAATCACCTGGTGCATTAACCCAGCACGTCTGGACAGTGTCAGAGGCCAGCAGAGCAGAGTCGCCCTTTACCCAGGAGTTCTGCTTGTGCTTCAGAGACCAGGCAACCAGCAAAACCTAGGACATTGGCTTTCCACTCGCCCTGCAGAGGCTCCGAGCATCCCAGAGCCATCCCTGCAAGTGGGCAGCCGTGCTGCTAATCCACCTAGGCAGTGGTCCTGCGCATTTGTCCCACCCGCTCAGCCCTGCCAAAGCTGAGGCTCGGTCCTTGGCCAGGACACATCAGGACTGAGCGAGTACCATGGCGAGGGAATTGTTGGCCAGAGCACATCTTGCAAGGGGGGTTCAGAGAACCAGGGGCACCCCAGGATGATGATCCTCTCCCCACCCCTATCCCCGCTTCTCAGAGATCACACAACAGTGTACAAGCTTGCCCCAATTCAGTCAAACAAACCCCATCCAAGGTATGTGAGTACCCACTGGAGTGTGGGGAAGCCGAGACACGGAGCAGGCCGTGGCTCACATGACAAGTTGGTAGCAGTGCTAGGAATAGAAGTCAGATGTCCTGGTTTCCAGTCCCCTGCTCTAGCCAGTGGGCCCGAGTCCTCCTCTGTCAGCTGACAGTGCTCTGGCACACAGAGAGGTACTGACGAAGGGATGGTCCCATCGCTCCTGCCTGCACTGCATCCCCTAGAATGGCTACCCTCGGGGAGTGAGAGCTGAATAGTCGGGGTGCAGGTACATGGGCCCTGTGTTCATGGCACCGATGTAGCCAGCTATGTGGTTTGTCTGGTAGGGAAAGCGCCATGTGAATCCCCAGCTCACGACCACGCAGCTCTGCTGGGCTCTGCCAGTGGTCCCCCATCGTTCCTGGCTCTCCCCTTCCCTCGTGTTGGGGGGGCTGAGCCTGCGACCGCTGCACTGTACTGCTTAGAACCGCTCTCCCAATGCACCAGCGGCTGTGGAGCCCTTCGCACCAATGCTCCCAGCAGTGAGCCTCTTGTGAGTTCGGCCAAGTGCATTGAGGCTTGAACCCTGTGTCATTAGTGGGGTGCCACGGGGTTAGGGGAGGTAAGACTCGTATGGCTCCTCTAAGGCTGGGGGCCATCTGCTCCACCCAGGGTGGGGCAGGGCAGTCCCACTGCTGCCCAAAGTGCCGGAGGAGAGAGGAATGGTGCGACGTAGCATGTCACGGAGCCAGCAGAATGGCTGGCGTGAAGAGTCAGGGTGCTGCCTATGTGATCCAAGCCTGCTTGGTGTGGCACTCTGTCCCACTCTTGTGGCACCTACACCAGCCAAAGTAGCGGTTCTCAACTTTTCCAGACTACTGTACCCCTGGAGCCTGAGCCCTGCTTCTGGGTGCTGAAACATGGAACAGCATTACAGGGCCCTCTATGGCGTGGTGTCTACCCCCCAACTCCAGCGCTGCACTTGTGACCTCCCCAAAGCCATCCCACAACCCCCAGGTTGAGAAACACTGACTTAGATGAGTTGATGTACCCCCTGGAAGACCTCTGGGTACTCCAGGGGTGCTCCTGGTTGAGAACCACTGAGCTAGAGAGTGATGAGCTAGCTACAGCCTTGGCTAAAAGAGCTATGTTTGACCCCGTCCTCCAACAACTGAGTGTGTTGGCATTACACATAGCCGTGAGACACCAAGAGCCTGTCTGGGAGCCAGTCCCCCAGGGATCATCTTGCCAGTGGTGCCAGCTCTTGCTGTTTTATCACGAGTCTCTCGCTATTTGGTGTGTTTGTAAAGCCCCAGCTCCTGGAGGCCTGTGAATACATGACAGTCTCACCTTCCATTTGTTCAGAAGAGGAAGCTTCTGGTCTCCCGGGTTGCAGAAGAAAGTCAGAAAATCCAACCCAGGGAATCCAAGGGCTCACAAGCCAGAAGGCGAAGAAACAGGTTGCTGAGGAGGGTTCACACAGGGAGCTGCCTCCTGCCCCCAACCCTGGCAGCTGCCAGCAGCTAGAGCAAGGCTGTGAGCCGAGGTGCAAATCTCTGACCTCCACCCACCCCAAGTGAGGTTGGGCCCACCCTTCTGGCTCTGGCTTTGGAGCATGTGTTGGCGGCCGCTGGCTCTGTGCACAAAGGTGACCCAGGCTGAGAGCATCGTGCTCAGGGCAGCTCACCAGGCTGAGTGGCTGTTCAGGGGGCAGCAGTGAGCGCCTGCTGGAGCAAAGTCAGCCTAAGCCACCGAGCCAGCCCCAGCAGCAGGGAGAGCGAGCACCTATGTGTCACAGTCTGTTACAGGGTGTCTGCCTCCTGCTGGCCTGGCCAGTGGGTTGCTCTGCACACAGCTGGAGGACAGAGCTGCTGCCCAGGAAGGTCAGTTCCTTAGGCTCCTAGCTTGCACTGAAGTCAGAGGTTAGAGACTAAGCTCCCTATGGTTGTTCTGGCTCAAACGCATTAGCCTACAGCTGTGTGATGCTTTGGAACGGCAGAGCTGTGTGCCTGCTAAGGATTAGTGTTGTCATTGTGATTAGCTATTAATGCTGTTCTCGCACACAGCAGGTCTCGCTGGTGTGTACTGGTGTGGGAGGTAGGCACTATGTACCCCTGCAGGTCTGGGCTACAGTCCCTGGCCCAGAGAGCTGATAATTGAAACAGATGGCTACAGACAGATGGAGCCAGGGGAGTACAGAGAATGAGGCACCGACCCGCCCGGCCCTCAGGGGTCTCAGCTCAGCTGGGAGCGAGTTACTGGAGTGTCTGTGGGATGTTGAGGGGCAGCACGCAGATTGGATCAGGCTTTGCTTTTCTCTATATTTTCCAGGGCTCCCTCCACCCCGAGAGTATCCTGACTGCATCGCCCAAGCTGCTGCTCCCCTCCTCATCCCAGCTGCCGGACCTGGGGACTCCCCTCTCCACTCATCACCAAATGCAGCTTCTTCGGCAGCTTCTGCAGCAGCAGACGCAACAGACACAAGTGGCCGTGGCCCAGGTACTGCCCGCATGGTGGTTGTTGCCCCAGCATGCCGAGTACGAGCGGGGCGCGGGGCTGTGCAGGCGGCAGCATGTGCGCAGGGGGCCATGTGGAGGGGTTTGTGAGAGGCTGGTGTGCTGGGAGGAGTGGGGTGGAAATGGACACAGGCGAATAAGCCAGAAGTGGCAGAGCCCTGGAGGCAGAGCCCTGGAGGCAAAGCCAAGTTGCTCGGCCTAGATGCAGGAAGGGAGGAGCAGGCAGAGGAGGGGGTCTGAAACTGGGTGGAGATGGAGGGAGGGTAGCTGTGTTCTGAACGTCTGGAGTGACAAGTGGCCATTGGGTTATGGTGATGCAGGCGGGCCTCGGCGTGGGCCTGGACAAGGGGATAGGTCTGATTTTAGCCAGGGCTGAGGGGTGGAAGTCAGGTATCACAGGAGGAGAGAGCCCAAGGTCACCCCGGGTGGGGGAAGGGAATTCATCAGGGACAGTCCGCGGGGAGGGAGAGGGCCTGGCAGATCCAGGTGGGCCACGGCACCGGTCAGTTTGAGGGGAGGCAGCTAGGAAGAGAAGTCAGGGAGACAGCGAGAGCTGTGGGATTGAAGGAAGGAGTAGAGCTGTCCCCCATACGCACTCTGCCAGGGCCATCGGGGAACCCACAGACATCCTTCCCCACACCACATGCCCTGCCCCTGGCCCAGCTGCCCCTGCAGTGACTCACACATAGCGCTCCGGGAATCTCACTGTGCTGCAAGCCAATCCCCTGTGCTATGGGTAGGGGCAGGCAGCACAACAGGCCCCAGCACTGCTGGCCCCACGGTGTGGAGGCACACAATGGGACGCCACACCCCAGGGGCCAGAGGGGCACACAGCCTAGCCCGGCCCAGCCAGCCTACTAGGACTGACAGTCAGGGGCTGGCTAATGTGTGCAGAGTGTACTGACCCTACTGTCTAGGTCTCACACCTGATGAGTGCTGAGGGCTTGTTTGCTCTGTGTGGTGCGTGGGCCAGTGAAATATCATGGGTATCAACTGTCCTTGTCTCCTGGGCAGGGGCCCGGCCCAGCTACGACCCTCATTCAGAACAGCGCAGCTCAGCAGGAATGTAAATGCAGCCAGGAATTGTCCAGACTGCCATGGCTTGGACTGGGCTGGGCAGGGCTCTTCTGGGGCAGGGCCCCACATTCTCCGATGCTCAGGGTTGGCCATGGACCTAGAGGTCAGGGCACGCTGCTGCAGGGGGGAATCAGCTTCAGGTCTCAGTGGGTCTGTCTGCACTGCATTTAAAACCCCACAGCCGGCCCGTGCCAGCTGACACAGGTTGCAGGGCCAGGCTAAGGGGCTGTTTGCATTGTAGACATCTGGACTTGGGCTGAAGTCTGGACTCTAGGACCCTGCGAGGTGAGAGGATGCAAGATCCCAGCATCTACATTGCAAATTGCCGGTGCCTAACTGCAGTGTGGACACACCCAGAGAAACTTGTTTCACTGGCAGCTCCAGGGAGCCATGGTTAGGGTTCCAGGGAGAGTCTGTCTCAAGATGAGCTAGCCTGGCCCTCACCTGCAGCTGAACGGCCTTTGAAAACCATGGGGCTGCCCCTTTATGTGGGGACAGGCAGCTGTCCCACTGGGAACTTCCAGCTCCCCTGCTCCTGACAGCATGCCTTGGTGCCTGCAGCTTTGAACTACAATTCCACCACTGCCAGCAGGTGCCAGTGCTCCTGCTTCCCCTGCCCAATCTCAGCACAGCCTCTGTGGGAGTTCTTTCTGCTTGGGCCAGACAGATCTGTCCCATGGCTAGGCACCCTGGTATGAAGCAGAAGGGACTCCATGCTGGATGCAGTGTGGACGGGGGACAGATGCTAGCATGCCCCCTGTCCCATGCTGCCCTGTGGCTGCAGGGTCCCTGTGAGACTGGAATGGGGAATGGACTTACTAGCACTCTGGGCAAAGTCTGGAAGGGCTTTGTGGGTCCAGGACTTCTGCAGACTGGTATAAATCTCTCCCTCCTTCTCCTGCTTGCTGTCCTAGAGCAGAGCAACTGGCGACATCCCCAGCCCAGAGTAACAGCTCCCAACACTGGGATGGCTCCCAGGGGAGAGTCTCTCTGAGCTGGACCTGAGGTCCCGCTCTGCCAACAGCCACCACTGTGCCTGGCTGAGAGAACAGGTGGCTAAGGGGAGTGGGCATCTGACTGGCGGCACTGCAGGCTGGGGCTACGGGCGGGCTTGCTCTAGCAGCAGGCTGGGGGCGCGGGCAGGATGCATGAATCTCAGTCTAGCAGCAGGCTGGAACTCCAGGCTTGGACCCCCGGCTCGGCGCAGGCAGCCTGTCCTGGCACGCACACACCCACTCGCTGTGTCTCCACGTCTCTCCGACAGGTTCACTTGCTGAAGGACCAGCTGGCTGCAGAGGCAGCAGCTCGGCTGGAGGCCCAGGCGCGTGTGCACCAGCTCTTGCTGCAGAACAAGGACATGCTCCAGCACATCTCGCTGCTGGTCAGGCAGGTGCAGGAGCTGGAGCTGAAGCTGTCAGGAAGCAACACCAGTAAGAGCTCCTTCCCCAGCCTTGCTGCGGCCCCCAGCCAGTACAGGGACCCAGGAGCACAGCATGGAGGTGCTTGTTGCTGAGCTCCGTGCTGATTCACCAGGGCACAAGGGACTTCCGATCCCTCCCCGTTCTGCCCCGCTCCGGCGGTGTGCCCGTGCCATGGTCCCCAGCACTCCCTGGAGAGGGGATCCCCGTGAATGCCAGGGGGAGGGGGTCACCGCAGAGTGTGCATGACACAGCCCATGGCCAGGGTGGGTGTGCCATGCACACACATCAGTCCAGTTCCCAGGGGTCAGTGCCCCGACTCACTGCCTGACTCAGGCCTGCAGTGACCACATCCCCTTGTGGGGTGGGGGGGTGACCCACGGCAGCTAGACAGCCCCACCCCTTTGCACCCCAGGGTTTGTGGCATGCAAGAGACTGCCCCATGTCTCCTGGTCCCTGCGCCAGGATGCCCAGGGAGAGAGAATTTATAATGGGCACCCTGCGGGGAGAGTCCCTGCGTGTACTTTCCTCAGCTGTGCGGGGGCAGCTGTGGGCGCAGGGGCTGGGTGTTATTGGGGCAGGGTCATGTCAGGGGTGAGGGGGTGTTTCTGTGTGGTGGGTGTGCGGCATCTGGGTGTTACCAGGATCATGTGCACATGTCAGAGGGGTGGGGGAGGATGTTTGTGTGTGGTGGGCATGGGGGGGATGGGTGTTATTGGGGCAGGGCCGTGTGCACATGATGGGAGTGTATGGGGGTGTTTGTGTGTGGTGGGGATGCGGGGGCTAGGTGTTTTCAGGGCCGTGTGCATATTTCAGGGGTGCAGGGGCAGTTCACGGTGGGTGTGAGGGGGCTGGATGTATGGGGCAGCGCCATGTGCACGTCAAGGCTATGGTTGTGTATGGTGGGCGTACAGGGGCTGGGTGTTATTGGGGCAGGGCCGTGCACACGTCATGGCTATGGGGTTGTGTGTGTGCAGGTGTTGGGGGGGTGTTATCTTTGGGGGCTGTCCATGCTTTTCCCTGTTGCTGTTTGTTCAGCTAGATCCTCACCTACCCCTCCACCCTCCATCAGCTTCAGCTCCCCATGTGAACAGCACTGATCGGGGTGGGCTCTTGGCCATGGGTTGAGATCTAGAGCAGGCCTGTGTGCCTGGTGGCTGTCTGCCAGCCTGTGTGAGGGGTCAGTGATGCCCTAGGCCGTGCCCGCTCTGACTGCCCTCCTCTCTTCCAGTAGGTTCCCAGGACAGTCTGCTGGAGATCACTTACCGCTGCAATGCCATGCCAGTGCTGTGCGACTCCATCACCCCGAAGCCTGAGGACCTACACCTGCCGCTGCTGGGCCCTGGCCCTGACTCCACCCATGCCCTGGGCAGCCCCATAGGTAGGAGTGACTGCTTGGTGAAGCTGGAGTACTTCCGCTTCCCGCCGGGCACCACGTCACCGTCAGAGCCGCTCCTGGGCAGCCTGGAGCTCATCAAGTTCCGCGAGTCGGGCATCGCCTCGGAGTACGAGTCCAACACGGACGAGAGCGAGGAGCACGACTCGTGGGCCCAGGAGGAGCCACTGCGTCTGCTCAACGTACGGCACAAGCAGGGCCTGGGGGACAGCCTGGATGATGAGATCGCTGTGTAGGAGGGTGGCTGTCTCCAGACCGAGACAGGGAGGAGACAGTCTTGGGGAGGGAAGCAGCTGCTGGAGGCCAGTGCTCAGTTCAGGGCTTTAGGCCAGGGTAGGCAGTAAAAGTTCCCTCTCCGCCCCTGTGGCAGGACAAAGCCAGGGCTGTGCTCCCTGCAGCCCACGCCATCCCAGCAGGCTCTCAGAGCTGTCAGGGCACGCCCTGGCCTTGCTGTGAGAGAGGAGGAGACTGAGTGTGCACAGGCAGGTATCCCTCTGCTAGAACAGTCAGCGAGCAGTCCCACCCACCCAGCCAGCCACAGAGCGGGTACAGACACATACCCTCCTTCGATGTGCAGTCACTTTCGCAGGACCCTCACCGCGCTGCCCCAAGGCTCTGCCAGCCTGGCACAGCTTCTGCTCTGATCAGACTCCATAGGCTATGGCCAGCAATGTGTGGCTGTAAGTCCATGGCATGGCTTTGTCCTCTGTAGTGGAACTGGGGATATTTTCATTAGCCATAAAATCTATAACCCTTTTCTGAATCCTACCAAGTTCTTGGCCCTATAACATCCTGTGGCAAGTAGTTCCACAGGCTCACTGTCCATTTCCCTTGGTCAGCGTTAGATTCATTGCCTTTCATCATCAGTGTACCTCCCCTGGTTCTCACTGGGACGGCATTCCCACCTGCTTTCTTATCCTATTCAGTCTTTGACGTGGCCCTGTCATGTCCCCTCCTGTTCATCCCCTCTCCAAACAGAGCAGAGTCAGGGGGATGGTCACAGGAGCTCAGTGTAGGGGTAATCACCTCTGCTCCCAGCGGAGTCGAGCTATAGATTTCAGTGAGAGGCCACCCAGTACTTGAAACTCCCCATCCTCAGATGGAGCCTCTTGGCATTGTGGGCACTTGCCTCTGGGGCCCCTTTGATTCCTGGGGGCCAGACCTGATCTCACTATTGCAGGTCAGGGAATGCCCCCTGTCTGTATAACAGATCCTAGCTCTCTGAGCTCCCCACGTAGCCAGTGGCAGCGGAGCATGTCCCAGCCGTAGTGTATTCATGCCCACACCCCCCTGGGAGGCCAGGCAAAGCTATTGCCCACTGTACAGATGGGCACTGAGGCACAGAGCCCAAGTCTGTGCTGCACAGGGAATTGAACCCGAGTCTCCCAGGCAGGTGCCAGCCTCGCTCTCCATGGTACCGGTTTTGGAGTTGGTCTCCCTTCCAGTCTTGTGCAGCTGTTCTGCACACTGCTGAGTGATGAACTGGGATACTCGCTGTTCCAGTCATGCCCGGGTCGAACCTGAGCCATTCAGGTCCATCTCAGCCCCCCGTGTATTTTAAAGAAGCCTTATTGAGGACGCAGGAACAAGCCATCGCCAAGTGCAGAAAGAATAGCAAATATGGCAGGCAACCAGCATGGCTTAACATGGCTTAATTTGTGGCAATTGGGGGAGGTCCCGGACAGTTGGAAAAAGGCAAATATAGTGCCCATATTTTAAAAAAGGAAAAAAGAGAACCTGGAGAACTACAGAGCAGTCAGCCTCACTTCAGTCCCTGGCAAAATCATGGGGCAGGTCCTCAAAGAATCCATTTTGAAGCACTTGGAGGAGATGAAGGTGATCAGGAACAGTCAACATGGATTCACGAGGGGCAAGTCATGCCTGACCAACCTGATTGCCTTCTATGATAAGATAACTGGCTCTGTGGTGGATGTGATATATCTTGACTTTAGCAAAGCTTTTGTTATGGCCTCCCACAGTATTCTTGCCAGCAAGTTAAAAAAGTATGGATTGGATGAATGGACTATAAGGTAGATAGAAAACAGGCTAGATTGTCGGGCTCAACTGGTAGTGATCAATGGCTTGATGTCTAGTTGACCGCCGGTATCAGGCGGAGTGCCCCAGGGGTCAGTCCTGGGGCTGGTTTTGTTCACCATCTTTATTAATTATCTGGATGATGGGATTAATTGCACCCTCAGCAAGTTCGCAGATGACACTAACCTGCGGGGAGAGGTAGATACTCTGGAGGGTAGGGATAGAGTCCAGAGTGACCTAGACAAATTAGAGGATTGGGACAAAAGAAATCTGATGAGGTTCAAAAAGGACAAGTGCAGAGTTCTGCACTTAGGAAGGAAGAATCCCATGCACTGCTACAGGCTGGGGACCGACTGGCTAAGCAACAGTTCTACAGAAAAGGACCTGGGGATTACAGTGGACAAGAAGCTGGTTATGAGTCAGCAGTATGCCCTTGTTGCCAAGGCCAATGGCATATTGGGCTGCATTAGTAGGAGCATTGCCAACAGATCAAGGGAAGTGATTATTCCCCTCTATTTGGCACTGGTGAAGCCACATCTGGAGTATTGCCTCCGGTTTTGGTCCCCACACTATAGAAGGGATGTGGAGAAATTGGAGAGAGTCCAGCGGAGGGCAACGAAAATGATTAGTGGGCTGGGGCGCGTGATTTACGAGGAGAGGCTGAGGGAAGTGGGGTTATTTAGTCTGCTGAAGAGAAGAGTGAGGGGGGATTTGATAGCAGCCTTCAACTACCTGAAGGGGTTTTCCAAAGAGGATGGAGCTAGGCTGTTCTCAGTGGTGGCAGATGACAGAACAAGGAGCAATGGTCTCAAGTTGCAGTGGGGGAGGTCTAGGTTGGATATTAGGAAACATGTTTCACTAAGAGGGTGGTGAAGCACTGGAATGGGTTACCTAGGGAGGTGGTGGAATTTTCATCCTTAGAGGTTTTTAAGGCCAGGCTTGACAAACCCTGGCTGGGATGATTTAGTTGGGGTTGGTCCTGCTTTGAGCAGGGGATTGGACTAGATGGTCTCTTGAGGTCTCTTCCAACCCTAATCTTCTATCATTCTGTGAATCACAGATCAGGCATTACCATGCACTTGTTGAGACACTTTCCCCTGCCGTCACACCAGCCATTCTCACTCGAATAGGGCTTGCTGGCCTTCCTAGTCTTGACTAACCTCAGTATTGTGTCATCTTCCAGCACACTTTCTTTGTCCTCAGCTCTCTAGGGGTGTGCAGCGAGAGCAGGGCGGAAGCAGGAGATCCCGGCAGCAGAGCAGCTCCGCATCACTGGCTTCTTCCTATTTTCTTTTTCCTTAAGTAAATCCAGGGAAATGAAATGCCAAAGCTGATGTTAATGCAGTGATGAAGTCAGGAAATTCCACAAGTTCAGGGAGCCAAACTCTTCAGTGGCGTGTACCCCACACACTCCTGGCAGGCCAAAGTCTCAGGGCTTTTTCACGTTTTGGGCAGATTGGCTGCTCTGGCTCCCTAGCAGATAGGCCCCACTTCCCCCTGTTTGCTTTCAAGCTGTCTGGTAAGTTCTCCAGGCTGTGCGGCCTGGCTGGGTCAATGGTGTGGAGAAGGCTGTACTGATGGGCCTTGCTGTCATGGGAGTGGTTGCTTGCTGTCCCCATGGGGCTGCGTTAACATTTGATTGGAGGGGCAGAGCAGATTCCCAGGGAAAAGGCTTTGCTCGGAGGGTGCAAAGGCTGAATGTGCCTGTCAGTAACTCAGTAAAGCTTGGCGATCTCAGAAAGCAGATGGGAGCAAGTTCATTAGGATGGACTGTCTAGCTGTAGCACCCAGGACCCAGGACAGGATCGGGCCCTGTTGTGGCTGCACTGGCTATGCCCTGAAGAGGTGGCAGACTGAAAAGACAGGAAGTTGACAAAAGCAGGTAGAACAGGGCTCCAAAGGATTGCATGAGGGGCTCCGGCAGTGCCCTACCCACAGATCTGACCCCTCTCTGGGGCTTGGAGTTACCTCCAGTCGCTGCCTGCTCTCAGCTTTCCCCTGACGATTCGCTGTGATGCCATTAGCCCTGACACTAGGGCAGGGCCATGTGCAAACTTCCTTGCTGGGCCTCCTGACCGTCCCCGGAGTCCTGCGAGCCTTTGGGGTTCAGAGCTGGCTGGGGAGCAGCTTCTCTCTGGAGCCACTAGTAGGGAGAGCGCAGTGAGCAGGGAACCTGGGTCCGTCTGCGGGAGGGTAAGGGGTGAGTTCATGGGGCATTAGCAGGTGGGTTCCAGGTGTGTGTGGCGGTGACGCGGGAAGTGGGGGGGGGTGAGTGCAGGGGTGCTGGCCATGGAGAGAGCTGTGGAGTGGGGGGGTGAGGGCAGGGCTGGAGGACTGGAATGGAGACAGGACAGGAACCTTAGACTGGCTGGGGAGATTCTACGGGCTCAGAGCAGAGACGTGCTAGAGCAGGAAAGCAGGGCTCCAGAAGAGCAGCACAGTGATGGGAAGCAAAGGCTGCTGCATCCTTTCCCCTCCTGGTCCCAGCTTGCCCTGCCTCACCCCCTTTGGGCCCCAGGCATTGCCTGCTGGGCCCCCCTCTCCTGGCTGCCTCTGCAGAAAGCCCGGCCTGGACATCCACATCAGCTATGCTTGTTCTGTCTGAATTACCTGGCACGTGCAGTGCGAAACTCAGAGCCTGCAACCCCAGGGCAAGGCCACCATGTCCCCAGCACTCTGGGTTCATTTACGACGCTCTCAAGGGCAGCTGTGAACAGTTCACTCCGCTCCCAAGGACTGACACGTCACCATAACACTGTCGATTAGCTCACCCACTAGCTGCTGGCTGGAGGGGCCTTCGGCTAAGGGCCATTCTCCCCATCTCTGTGCCCGACACATGCTGTGTCTTACAGCCAGCAGTCGGAGCTGCACTGATGGGTGGAAGCCAGGAAAGGCACCAGTCATGATAAGGTTTCTTGAGGATGGTTCTGGTTCCACTGGAGTGGATCTAACTGGCCTTTTAGACTCATATCAACACCAGGACAAATGGGGCCAAAATCTCTAAAGATTCTGCCTCCCAGTGGTCAAGAAAAATCTGTGATAAATCGTGAAGGTTTCTGCAGTCTGGTCAGCTGCCCGCATTCAGAACTCAGGAGGCAGGCTCCAGAGACCATGAGATTGGCTTTCAAAAATAACTAGGGCTCTTTTTCTTTGCTTTCTGATTTCTGAGCCTTTAGGGGGCACTTGGATCCTGTTTTCAGGCTTTTCTCCACAACTGCGAGGGCTAAAAGCTTGCTTTTTTTTGTAAAGGAAAGCTAAGGTTCTCGTGTCATCACATGCCTCCAGGATCTGGAGCTTTATGACTCAGATTATGCGAGCTGACAACTCTGTTTGTGCACACAAATGCACTTGCAAATGTGGATTTTTGTTTATGCAAAACGATGCCCTTGCAAGTGCAGATTTTTGTAACTGAAAGGGGATACACTTGTGTGCATGCAAATAAATGTGCTCTTAGCCACTGTGAAGGCAGTTTGGGATAACCTTTGGGAATGTGGCCCTGAGATCTTTGGAATGCTCACTCGCCTAAGGGAGTGTTTTGAAAACCAGTTTCCTGATTACAATAATTAGTTGGCTTTTGTATACCCAATTTCTGTGCATTATTTTGATTTTGAATGATGACTTGAACATGCAGGTGATTGAAGTCTGTGGGGGCGTAAGGGGCCCTCTCCTAAATTGGCTTCTAAATAAGTTACAGATGGTCATGAAATTCCAGTCGTGCCCTTGCACGCCCAGTGCTGCCGTGCCCCAGTGCTGTGAGCTGCCCCCTTGCCTCATATCACAAGCTGGGACGCTCAGTGTTTGAGCTAACCCAATACAGGAGGAAACCAGCCAGAGCGCCAGGGAGGATGCCAGGCCAGGCCAGGCCGGGGCCAGGTTGACAGACCCTGTTGACAGAGCCCTACACGTGTGAGGGAGCTGTTCCCCGCCTCCTCCCCTCCTGCATCCTGGTGAAAAGCTGTTACATCATACCACTGTCTCCACCAATCAGGTCTGGGACCCTGCTGACCAACAGCCTGTCCCAGTGATGTCCCGCCAGAGTGCCCACAGTGGGATGGCTGTCCCGGGGCCCCAGGCTGGAAGGTGACGTCTGCCTGAGACATCCCTCCAGCCCTGACACTCCCATGTGACCTGCGGCTCTCCCTGCCTGTTCCTCAGGCTGTTGGTCGCAGGACCAGGAGTCAGGACAGACACTGACATTCCGTCTGCTCCCCTGAGGACATGGGGGCTGGGGAATGGATTCTTCCTCTCTTCCCCTCTGCTCCCACTGCTCCTCTGATCTCTCTTCCTTTTCTCCTGCACCTTCTGCCTGCTCCTCCTGAGCCCACCCCCAGCACCACCTGCCACAGGCACCGTCTGGTGGCACCTTTGGGGAACGCTAACGGGCAGGGCCCCTGGCAGTGAGAGCCACTATCTCTGGCACAGGGGGTGTAGAAGCCACTGAGATCTGGCCTGTGAGCTGCTGTTCTGTGGGGTCAGCGCAGTGAGGAGCACAGGGCTGATGGGCCCCCCAGCAGGTGGGGGCTGCAATCCACACTAACTACAGTGCAGGCACGGGGGGGGGGGCCTGAACCACAGTCGTCAGCTGGTGTCTGGAGCTGGGGGCAGCCATAGGTGGGAGGGGTGTTTAACTGATGTCTGTGTGTTGAGCTGCAGCGAGGTGTCCAGGAGCGCCCTGGCTGGGGCTTATTTGACCCACTGGATGGAGGGCGAGGTGGTGGCAATGGCTGTGTCTTCCCACCAATGTCCCCTCCTCTCACCAGGGCTGGGATTGGACCAGGTGCTGTCATTCAGACAGGCAGGGTAGTGGAGAGGAGGGCCTCCTGGCCAGATGGGCTTCTGAGGGACTGTGAAGCTGCAATGCCTGGCGTGGTCCCGCTCAGAGCTCAGCTGGGCTGTTGGGCTGCCGGGCAAGAGGCAGGGGTTGGGTGGGTTGAGCTTGCACCCATCCCCTGCAGGCCTGGAAGGGGCAGGTGGGCACTGGCAGAGGGGGTGGGAAGTTGGCCAGGCAGCACTTTAGGTGGGAGGGGATGGGGACACCAGCAGCCTGGCTAGGCCTGATGCATGGATAGGAGATAGGTTGCGGAGCTGGTTGCAGCTGGGAAAGGGAAGAAGAGAGAGATGAGAGTGCAGGGGGATAAGGGTAAGAATGGCAGCGGGAGCTGAGGGGACTCCCTGGGACCTTTGGAGGGGCTGGAGAGGGGACTTGGCATGTGAGAGAGTTAATGCAGCAAGGCCTGTGGGGGGTGGGGTGGGCTGGAGAATGAGCAGCATTACCAGATGCAATAGGCAGGAGTCAGGGTCTGGCTGGCTGACACATGAAGGAGGGGCAGAGAGCAGGGCAGCGGGAGGGAGGGAGGGAGGAAGGAAGGAAGGACCTTATTGTGAGGCTCTCACCCTCCCTTTTGCTTGTGGCAGGATCAGTCCTGTTCCCCTCTCCTCCCCTTGCCCCAGGCCTCTGCTCCCTAGCTCAGACCTGCTCTGCACAGCACAGGTAGGAGCAGGAACAGCCAACCCGGAGGGAGCAGGCGTCCTAGTGAGAGACCCATGCCCCTGGGAGTCACTCTTGGAGCCATGGCACTGGGACACCCCCACAGGGACTAGGTGCCTGCAGGCAGCTGGCTCACTTGGCCTGCTTCCAACTCATCCTTTTTCTCATCACTTTTGTCTGCTTCCTCTCAGGATGGGGGTAGGGACAGGGTGGCTGCTGTTGGTTCTGAGAGCTGCCCCTTCTCTTGAGGGCCACCTTTGAACGTGGTGTGAAGCAATGTGAAGGGGCATTGCTGGAAGGCTCCAGTGTGCATCTCATAGGCGTCCCAGGGCTGGGCTGCAACTCTTTCCTGCATCGTGCTGGGCCCTGGAACTGGACAGCTGTAAATTCTCCTCCTCCAAACTCCATGCTGCCTAGGAACCTCCTCTCCAGCCTCACACTGTGGTGGTGGGTCTTCGCTGAGGATCAAGATAGATCTATTTTTTTGTCCTTTCCTTTCCTACAACTGTTGTGTTACTAACTGTGTATTCAGTCGATCTGGAAAGCCAGCCTGTCAATGTAAGTGCACTTAACCCCTGGGTGGTGGTGTTTATCTATTGGCTTTTGCTAAATAAATCTTTCTATTTCTCAAGGCTTTCTGTCGTCTCTTCTTTCTCTCTCTGTCTCTGGATCACTCCTTCCACCTCCCAAACTTCGGGGCCCAAAGCAGGGAAACCAGTTATACCCCAGCGGCCATCCCTCTTGGGAACGGACCTTTCCAGCAGGGGGCTGGAGCAATATGTAATGGGGGTGCTGAGAGCTATTGAACCAAATTGAAAAGGAGTACTTGTGGCTCCTTAGAGACTAACCAATTTATTTGAGCATAAGCTTTCGTGAGCTACAGCTCACTTCACTGTAGCTCACGAAAGCTCATGCTCAAATAAATTGGTTAGTCTCTAAGGTGCCACAAGTACTCCTTTTCTTTTTGCGAATACAGACTAACATGGCTGTTACTCTGAAACCTGAACCAAATTGTAAACCCTGTATCTGATGGAAACCACTTTAAGCCAGGGGGCAAGGCACCACCCCTAGTTCTAGCCCCTATGCTTTCCAGGCAGTGAAATGTGTCCCCACAGAGCAGCAAAAGGTAATTGGACCCAGTCCCTGGGGCACTGCCAAACACACACAGCTGCTTGTCAGAGGTGGGTCTCGGTACAGATTCTGCCCCAGATACAGGCCCCTCCCATACTGCTGGTGATGACAGCCTTCCACCCTGCTTCAGTTATAATGCATTGGAATGGGTCTCTTTGAGGCAGGGACTGTGGGGGCCCCGATATCACTCAGGATTTGTGCAGCGCCCAGCACAATGTGGGCCCTGATCTCCATTAGGGTCTATGCAGCTCCCAGCATAATTGGGGCCCTGATCTCGGTCAGGGTCTGTGCAGCACCCAGCACAGTGGGGGCCTCATCTTGGTCAGGATTGGTGCAACACCCAGAACAATAGGACCCGCTCTCATCTGGAGTCTCTGCGCAGTACGGGAATACACATAGTCCAGTACAGTAATGATGAAACACTTGTAGGATCCCCCTTCCTTGCCCCAGGGAAGCAATTTCTGTCTGTCCCCTCTTCTGCTTGCTACTGACATCAGCTGCTGTTGGGCTCTGGGAGAGAGAGCCTTCTTGCCCTCCTGCCTGGCATGGCCCCACTGCCATTGTTCCAGGGCCTAGGTCACAGAAGGGAGGGCTGGATCGTTATTCAGACACGTCTCCCAGCAGACTCTGG